CTGGTGGAAGATGGCAGGAGGGAGGGGCTACTATATTTGGGTAAAAATGGCCGCTCCCTGACTCAGTGATTGAAACAAAAATTATTGTTTTTATTTATTTACTGATTAATGCTAAATTCATTAAATCACTGCAAACGTATTAGTTTTAGGTATAAATAATGATCCATTGGTTATTCCTTGCTGACCGGACTTTTCCTTTACTTCAAACCAAAAAGAAGTAATATTCTGTTTTGTTTTATTCTTGGATCGGGTTTTAAAGGTTTTAAAACAAAAATGTCTCTTTTTGCGCTTTATGAAACAAAGTAGCCTATATTTTGTGGATGTACAGCCACATTTCTCATGTAAGTTTGCGTAGTTTTAACACAAACATTTATTTTTCATATTGCACCAGTACAGTTAATGAGCAACCTGTACTTGTGTGCTTGTTTGTTCTGAATAAAATGTTTATTTTGGAATAAAGAAGTTAATATAAAAAATATTTTTTGTCCGATTCATCGATTAATCAAAAAAAATAATCGTTAGTTGCAGCCCTAATCCTGATATTTTGGATAGTGCATCGGAACATATTGTTTGTCAAACCAAAACATTTAAACATCCCTGATCCATTAGCCACTACTGCTCTGTGGGTGTGTTTCATAGACTAAATAAATCCAATGAACAGACCTTTTATTGTTGCTTATTTGGGTTTATTTTTCTATTACCAGTGCAGTTTATCTCCTGCACTGGTAATAAAAACATAGGGCCACCCCAGTGCATGCTGGTCCAATATCCTTCACTTATAATTAACGGTCTCACGGTTCTTCCTTGATGACCAAAAAAAACAAATAACAAAAAAAAACAAAATATCAAATAATTTGTCACCTAATCTCAGAATTAACACAACATAAATAACTAGAGAGCTAATATTACTATTATAAAAATGATAAAGACTGAATATGTCCAGACAGCTTTTTTCATTTTTTTTATATAAATACGTTTGTTGGTATTTTCTTTTAGGACTATGAGCTTTCTACAGATTTAAATCATTCCACCCAGAAGCACATTATCTTTTCCCTGAATTTGCAGATTTTTTTTTATAACTATACAGTACTTTTCATGATGCTGTAAACTAACTTCCTGCTGATACACCTGAATCTGCCTGCTGTTGGACAATAAAACATATTTCTTTTCTATTTTGCTGCCAAATGGCTGATCTGGCAGCACTTTCCTTCTCTAAAGACCCTTTCAGATACCAAGTGATGACAACTGTTTAAGAGGAAACCATAAACATCATGAGTTTTCTAAAAATGAGTCCTAATGGCATCTTATCTCAATGAAGCTGGAGCTGGGACGTTTTCTTTTCCTCTTAAAAGCTCTGGTTAGGACTATAAACTAACAGGCCGGAGTCCGCCTGCTCAGGTGATACTCACATAGAGGTGGAAGTGCAGGAAGCAGGCGAGAGGAGTGGGCGTGGCCTCTGGAAACTGCTGAAGCAGCGTTTGTAAGTAGAGCTCCAGCTCCTTCTGCCTCCGCTCCACCAAACTCTTTGAGTTCTTTCCTAAAATCTTCTTAGGAGGAAGCAGACGCCGGTCCACCTTCTTCTCTGCTGTCAGCTGGAGAAACGACAAAGAGGATCTTTTTGTTATTAAGGTTTCTTCGAGTGTCATTTTTCAGATCTTTATCTCATACACTGAATAAAATGAATCAGACTTGAAAGTGAAGGAATTTGTCTGATTTCTGCTGCATTCACATTAGAGATCACCTCAAATATTTCCTAATGTTTGAAAATGAACTAAAATGCAGTGAAACTGGTTTGCAGGGTGGTGCTTTAGGGTTAAATATTTGCCTCACCTTCTCATGGAGGTCATAGAAGTCGCTGTAGCGGTGCTTCACAGTCCACTTATGCAGACCGTCTGTAACATCGATGATGTAAACCTGAAACAAAAAGAAAACAACAAAACTGGTTTCATAATCCCTGAATTAAACCCTGTAGAGGAATTTTCATTGACCTCGTGTCGCCTGCTCTGATGTTACATCTACATTAAATTTGCATGTGACTGAGTGTCTGATTCAACCCGATCTTAAAAAAACAGAAAGTTTTGCTCTGTTATCTGTTAAAAACAGACTTGTTTCCAAACTATCCTCACCACAGAGCCAGTATGAAACTCACGGTTAAAAGAGTCTATTTGGTTCAGGACTGAAACAGTGAGACAGCTGTAGCTCATGCCTTGGATTTGTCCATGTTGCTCATGTTCAGTTTACTTCCACACTTTTTCCTTCCACTTAACTTTCTATTGAAATGCTTGCAAACATACAGCTTCTGCATGAATGACCTCCTGGATCTTCCCCTGCTAATGGAGGGTCCATGATGACTGTCAGCAGACTTCCCCATGACTATGAGGACCATAACTAATTACTTCCTGTTTAGAAATGCTGTTTTTATTGATCTGATTTTTTCAATCTAAGTTTTTGAGACAATGAATTTTAGTTTATCTTTAAACCTTGATCATCAAAATTGAACTAAATCCCCCACTCAACTTAAGCCATGTTAATTCATTGATATTTTTTATTTATTTTATCTTTATTGATTCTCAAGAAAGTTTAATAAAAAAAAAACTTAGGCCAGTACATCAAAAGATTAATTACAACATTATAAAAATAAGGTGGACAATTAGGTAAAATAAACCTCACTTCCCCGAGAAAGATTGTAAATCAAGAGGTAAAGAGTGGGAAAGATGAAACAACAACAAAAAAACAATGAAAAACATAGTTTAAAATAATAATGAAATATGTTTGTCATAGGAAAGTGGATCAAATTAGGTCTCAGATCTTTTTAAGGTTTACATAGTTTACCCAAATCTGCCACCTCTGACAGGAATGTTCAGTCTTGTGATTTAATAATTTAATAATAGGTAATTTAATGCTCATCTTAAATAATGAGTTGCATATTTCTAATTAAAAACAGCAGCGACAGAGATAAACAGGTTAGCTGCAGCCCCAGAACAGACAGAGAACCTAAAGGTTTCATTTAAATTCATCATCATCATGATATTAATGATCGTTAGCTAGCAGCTAGCAGGCTTACCGTGTAGCTCTCCACCAGCTCCGAACCGACCACTCGCACTTTCCTGTCCGGAACCTCCTCTGGAAACGGGCCAGGCTCCATCCTGATCCGCTATGAAACCAACCGAACCAGTTCTAACATTAAAAACCCGTCCTCTTAATTAAAACAGCGTCACAGAGCGTCCGCCGCTGCTTTCAGTCCGCCGCCATGTTTGTTTATGATGCGGCAGCTGAATGCTTAAAAAAAAAAAACTTTATTTAGAATTCCCCTGACGGACAGGAAGCTGTTTCATTTCAGTCATGTGATTTTATTCATCTCCATGTGTCTATGGAATGCTTTTGTTTTATGGAGAGTTATAAAACTGTATCTGTTGGGTCATATTTAGTTAATTTCTGCTTTTATTCCATTATTGCTTAACTTTGACTTAGCTGACCAGGTTGGTCAGGTGGTGCATTTTAATTTGTTCCACTTTGCTGGTGAAGATTCAGTCATCCAGGTCATATTCATCCAAAAAAAGAAATTAAAAACAATCCACTGGACTTTGTTTCCAAGTTTGAAGACGTTTCTCTTCCATCCAGGAAGCTTTTTTAATTGAAAATGTCAGAAATAACTTTGAGTTTGAGGTTTTATACAGTAGCCCAACAAAGTCTTGTTTTTGTTTAGAAAACATGCAAATTGGAACAGAGGAAGGGGTCCATCCCTTTGGAAGGGGGGTCTTTTCGCCTTTTTTTTTTTTTTTTTTTTTAACTGTCCTGTCTGCCAATGTGGCAAAAAGAATAATTGTCTTGATGCCTAAAAGAGCCCAACAGATTTTACTTTCCCCAGTGGAGCAGTACGGCTATCGCCATAATGTTCCGCTTGTTTATGCATATAAATTGCTTTATTATAATTCATGCAGGAAGTTTTACACATTATATGGACCCTGCAATTATTAAAAAACACAATATGATGACGTTTGAAAATTTTATAAATTTCTCATTTTTAAAAGCTATTTTTAAATGCCTTAATGGTCTTGCCCCTGAGGTAATCTGTAAATTTGTTTTAAAGTATGCAAATGAAGGAATCAGGACAAGAGCTGGAGCTATGGGGAACTGCAGGATTAAAAGATGTCGGACATCTATGGGTCAGTCTGCCTTCTCAGTGAAAGCATCACATCTCTGGAACTCTTTGCCTCTGGAGCTCAAGTCACAGACTGATATTCGACTTTTCTCCACAAGATTGAAAAAATGGCTCAAAGACAAACAAGAGTGTGACCACTAAACTGGCTTGTACTGTACATTTTTGTTTTAACTTCTCTTGTTTTTTTTTTGTTTTTTTTTTGTGTGTGTGTTTTTATGCATTTGTGTGTCGTTATTAACCTCCCTCCCCCTCAATGCTAACACCTTTTAAAAGCCTAACCAGGGACGAAGGCTGCAAATTAGCCCATGGCTACAAGCCTTATGTACTTAGACATCGGCCACCTGTTTGGTTGCAATGTTTAATTGTACTGTCCCTGTCAAATAAACAAAACAAAAAAATGTAAGTAGAACAGGAAAGGAAAAACAGAAAAAGGGAAAAAAGATGAGAGAAAGAGGAGATAAAAGGGAGATAAAGATAAAACATCTTCAGTCTGCTTCATCACCTGCAAAGAGATGTAAAAAGAACAGCACAACCAACAGATATAGTATAAGGAATGCAATAAAGTAACACCTAGATACTATCGCTGAAGTATAAGTAGTATTATTTAATCTGACATGGTAGCTGAAGATAAGAATATGGGCTTTCTGTATGGAAGTGAATCTCTAAGCACCTGTAGTTTTTTGTGAGAGTGCAGTTGTGCATGTAAAGTTTATCCAAAGGAAAAATGCTCAATAGTGGTTGTGAAGAGCCGAAGGCGCATTTGTCCGTTTCAATTTGCATGTTTTTTCTAAGCCAAAACAAAATGTTTTTCGGTCCACTCTGTAAAGCCTCAAACTCAACGCTATTTCTGATATTTTGAATTAAAAAAAGCTTCCTGGATGGAAAGAGAAATGTCTTCAAACTTGGAAACGAAGTCCAGTAGATTATTTTTTACCTTTTTTTTAAATTTTCAGATGGTATTTATTTTTTTCTTTTCTCCCTTCTTTTCAAATGAAATGAGTTATACAATATTTTCTGTTATTTAATTAGGTTCTAGAATGATAATGGTGTTGAAAGGTCTGACTTTAAACTTTCCAGAAACATGTTAGCTGTTTCATCTCAGCAGCCAATCTCACAAGCAGCTGACATGAACTATAACTGGATCATCAACAATTATACCTTGAGAGGCAAGATCCAGACTTGTGATGACAAGCATGTAGAATATTGGTGTCAATTGTGCAAAACTTGTTTAGTTACTACTATGAACCTGTGGTCAGTTTCTCAGAAATAAGATTGAAAAAAAACAAAAAATAGTGAAATCCACTCCGAGACATAGAAAGACAGGATTGTTCTGGTTATGGTATAATGTTAGCATTCACAGTTCTGACAGTAAGTGTTTTTTGTTATGCATCAAGTCATTGGATGATTTGTCTCTTCAAATATTATTTTCTTATATGAAACCATGAATTTTACATATTGTAGATGTTAGGTTTTGTTTTTATTTTGGGTCTTTTAGGTTTTTTTTTTATCTGTAATGCATATAATATCCACAAGGGGTCGGTAGTGCTTCATTAGACTGGAGTTTATTGGAGCCCTGAGGGGAACATAAACATGTCTCCAAATACAAATGTTTGGTTACCCACCCCTTAATCTCATAACGTTTTTGAGATAAGTATAAATACTTTATTACTTTACTTAAGTAGAAATTTTGGCTATCTATACTTTACTGGAGTAATCATTTTTTAGACAACATTTTGCTGCTACTTCTTACATTTTTTGGAAATTATCTCTACTTTCTACTCCTGACAAAAATAGACCCATTTTATTTCATTTAAGCTCATTTCTATTATGGTCTTTTGGTATTCAAAAAATAATAATAAAAACTGTCAAAATAATGTGTTTTATCCAGGTAATTTCTTTGTCTGGAATTTGTTGTTTGTGTCAAACCAAAGTAAATAGTTTTTGAAGATGAGGCAGAGTATAATTTAACACCGTTACAATTAGTTATAAAACTAAGAAAATTAAACATTTTGAAGTTAACTGAAGTTGAATTAAAGTTGAAGTTGAATTGAAGAAAAAATGTTCCTTTAAAATGGTAGAGCAGGAAAGCTTCTGTCCTTAACATTTATTTATTGCATTTATTTTACCTTTATCATTTAAGTAGTTTAAAAAATGTTACTTTTTACAATTTCACTGGAGTAAAAATCTTAAGTTGATCTTCTAATTATAAAGTATAAATCCTACAGTTTTACTTCTACTGGAGTAATAAGCATTAATATTTTTGACAGGATGTGACATATTTTAGATGCAAAGATATTCCCTTCCCTTCCATGTTCAGGCTTTAACTCCAAAGAGGAGCCTTAGTTGATGTTAGGTGGATAGTTTATTGCTCTGAAAAGAGGGCAGTTAATTTGGGTTAATAAAGAAATAGATTTCCTTATATTTAGCCTGCCTCAGACCTTCAGAAGCTGCAGAGTATCGACGAGTGAAACAGAAATGTTGCACGTTGATTGTTGATCATGTTTAGGAAAACTGCAATTATTGTCTATGACGAAGGGGGATTAGAGGAAAGGCTCATCAAGGACACAAATGAGGGTTGTCCAAAGTGGGGCTCGGGGGCCTTGTTCAGTCCCTGGACTGACTTTGCATGATCATCTGCCTGCAGATATTTTGTTACACAACTTGTTTTATTATTCTAGTTCAATTCAATTTCTATACCGTCAATTCACAACACGTCATCTCAAGGCACTTTCCAGTTCACCAGATCATCCA